TGATCAGCCCTCTGTACAATTTTGAGGCAGATTCTAAATGAATAAGGACTGGGAGGAATAAAGACAAGTTTCCAAATTCCCTGGGCCTCTGTCTTATCTATGAAAGATTTCCGTAAAAAAAAACAAAAAAACTACGTTCAGATAAGACTTGGTTATTTAAATTGACATCTTTATCTTGTACCATACGCACTTAAAGCTTCAGAGAGTCTTCTCATCTCCTTAAAAAAAAAATAGAAATCATACAAAGAAAGATATCTATGCATCAGTTTCTAATACCTAACAAGAACGTCTTTTAGAATATTAAAATATCGATAAGCAAATATGTAATATAGGATTAAACACTAGCATTGAAAACAAACAAAACCCACAAACAAAGAACCAACAGAATTTTCTTCTTGTCTTTGCCTCCTCAGATTCCGGATTTGACGATCATTACAGGAACGGGGCAAAAAGACTCACAATTCTCCTATTTAAAAATAAAAATTTTTTAAAACAAATGATGCCACTATAATGCATAAGTCAGATTTATCTTTTGAAAACATTGCTGGGAAAGCCCTTGTGATTTGAGTGGGAATGTTCTTTCTTATGAAGAGAGCCCAACAGGATCGGTCTCTAATAAATTAGCACAATCTTTCAAGATTAAAAATAGCAAAAACATTTTAAATAGTCTGATTATAGTTTCAACAAGTCAAACATACATTTCTATCTAGCCTATAGTTTTAAAGAGTCTATGTGGGTTTAACTTATCATCCCTCATTCCAATATAAAAGAAGAAGAAAGAACCAAGTCAATTTTGAACATTAAGATATTCATAAAGACTGTATAAAGTAAAAAACAAAAACCAAAAAGTCTTCACAGATTGTTAGCCATCTCTTTCAACAATTCCTCATCAATTCTTCTCTTTCCTTATCGGTAGGTAACCCCCATCTCATAGGGAAGTACTTCCCAATGAGATCAGTGATTGCTTTTAATGGGAGCTATTGCTCTTGAGATGTGAAGATGAAGGGAGAATCTTGTTAATAAACCAGTAAATGCCAAAGATTTACTCAAGGGAGATGTAGCAGATGCTATTTTTAGCAGTGAACCTATGCATTTTTTTTCTCTGTTTGTGTCTTTTCTACTTGCTGAATATCTGTTTTAGAGCAGAGAGCAGAAAAAACAAAATCAATAAGTAACTTAATCATCTTTTCAGTACTGCCATTTGCTTATAAGGTTATGTGTGTGTGTGTGTGTGTGTGTGTGTGTGTGTTTTACCCTATGTGTATTCCACGTTCTTGATCAAGGTGCTCAGATTGGGTGACATAATGCTAATTTTGCTGAGTTTGAGAGCCAACCAAATAACGGAGCCTTCAGATTGTGAAAAATGTTCATCTTCTGCCCCCACACCCCCAAACTCACAGCTTGGTGAACAGCCCGCTACTGGGGAGTGATAACAAGTTGAAAGGTGGTGGTGACTAGAGCTAATGCTGCTTTATGAAGCCATCTAGCTGTAGAATTGTTGTTTTTACACTTTAAAAAAATATGTCTATGCTTTCTTTTTTTTCTTTTTTTCCTTTTTTTTAGTCAAGTACTTTCTTAAAGAAACAATAGCACCACATTGGCATAGCTGGCCAAACAATAAATGGGAAAGCAAAATTGTGCTACATCTTCCAATTGAATCAGACTCCCAAGTGCATCAGTGAGTAACCAAAACCCTGGAGCCACAGTGCATGAGATGGTTTTATCTACACAAACACTAACATTCCCAGGAGGGGAAGGATTCTCAGGGAGGCCAGGCTTTTTTTTTAAACAGATTTTTCAAGGAAGTGATTTTTTTTTTTTTTTTTTTTTTAATATTCCATTGGACTCTAAGGATGAGCGTGTGTGTGTGTGTGTGTGTGTGTGTGTGTGTGTGTGTGATGTGTTGGGAGAGTTTTTCCCTAACTCTAGAACAGTGGATTCTGATGGAAAGATGCATCAGCTTTTGCAGTCGAGTCTCCTCATCTTATAACATTCAGATAATGCTGTTATACCATTTGGGGAAGTAGGAGCAGAAATTTAACCTAGGTATTCTGTATTGTCATTTGAATTGGAACTAAGCTTATACATTGAAAGCTAATTCCTACCAATATTTACGGCTCTTTCATAAACTTTCCCCAAACGGCCTCATTTTAAAATTTGAAAGCAAAGCTTGTCAAGTTTGGAGCTGTGAACTTTTTGGTGCTCCCTCTCTGACCATCCTGGGTCATCCTGCTGTAGTATATGGTGACCCACAGACCTTTTGAGTTTACATCAAATTGCCTTCTAGTTCTACTTCATTTGAAAATAAGATAGTGGGTTAGTATAATAATTAGTTAATTCTGAAGGAGTTGACTTATGATACAGTTGGAGAGGATTATGTGTTGGAAAAAGTTAAGAAAAGTGAAGTCTTGGCATATTTTAGCTTTCCTCACTGGGGCATTTGGGTTGTGACTAGAATTACTGAGTGAATCAAGTAAGTCATAGACTTCTTAGAATCACCCCATCCACCTAGGTCTGGAAACCCGTAGGTTGGCAGAAGATAGAATGCAAGGTGTTGCTGGGAGTCAGTGATTTAAAAAGGGGCATTGTAGGAACAAGAAATAAAAATGCAACGTGCCATTTTGGGAAGAGGGGTCCAGCACCTTACTCCACAGAAGCCACATGTCTGGAAGAGCAACAATGACTTCTAGTTCCTTTTACCTCTGTTCATAGTGATCAGAACAGCACTCAGCCTGCCAGAGATGCTCAATTCAAATACCACTGCAGACTGAGGTTCAGATACTTGTTGCTGAGCAGGAGCACCCACTACACAGGCCTTCTTTTTGCATATGTTCTGAGATCCAGGAAATCTTTTCTAATTGTAATTTTTTTATTTCTGGCATCTGAACCTTGAGCTGAACCAGTGGAATGAAAACTAAACATGTTATTTTTGTTTTCCATGTATACTTTCCAAGAATATAAAGGGTGAAATATACATGAAATAATCACACCTGGTTGCTTTTGACCAAAAGGTTCTAAGGCAGATAAAAGATCTGAAGGGTGGATGATTCATTATTCTAAGAAGAAATTATTGGTACGTAGACAGGAAACATTTTTTAGGTCTCCATGGGCCTGTCCTCACCATTGGATTTTCTTGATTTCAATTTTTTTAGTTGAATGGATCATAAGATGCATCCATGTAGGGCTTAGGGTCACTCTTCTAAGCAGACATGAGGGAAAATTCCTAGTGGTGAAGAAAATTTTTTGCCTCTCAACTAGCAACTCTAGTCAAGCACATTTTAACAAAACATAAATTATATATATATGGCCAAGGATAAAAGCAAAATTTATTAAAGAAAGTAACTGTGACTTTTTATTAGATATTATTTCAATAGTTGAAATCTTGGGCTATTATTTTTAGATTGCCTAAAGAAAGAATGACTGTTTTTCAAAATGAATAGAGTATCATTTATAATATTAAAAGCAGTATTGCTAGATTTCTAGTAACTGCCCATAACACGCAGTGAAAGCTAACAAATCTAGTAATCACCGTTTTGCTGGTAGAAATCTTTTCGTTTTTCTTTTTCTCTTTTCACTTTGTATTTATGAACCCAAATGCAGAATTCAAAATCAAGTTCTTAATCAAGTGTTCCTAATTTATTTTGAAAAATTTTAAAAGAGATCAAGTTGTTAGCTTTTAACAACTAGCTGGTTGGATACTTAATTGGATAGCTTCATTGACAAGAATTGGCACGTCAGGAACATTTGGCTAATCAGTTTTCTAGCTATGCTCTGAATGGGCTGTTTATAGAATTGTTTTCATCCCAGCAACTCAAGGGCTCTGAAACCTTGCACCCTCATAGTAACCCAGGATAATAATCTGGAGCTTTATCTTTTTAATCCTCATTCCACCCCTGTGAGGTAGGTAGATGGGATATTGCCCCATTTTACAGATGAGGAAACTGAGGCACAGAGAGGTGAAGTGACTTGCCCAAGGTCACAAAGTGGTGAGTCCGTGGCCAAGTCGGCAGGTGTTTGTTTCTGTAGTGAGAAAAAGAAGCCCAGAACGTTAAATTCCTAGCCTTCAGTTTTTTTCCCACTCCTCTCTGGACTCACCAAATAAATTTGCATGGGTGGACTTTGTGTCTCCAGTTTCTCTTGGAAGGCATAATCGGGGGGCACTTTACCTCCCTTCCCAGATGAATGGATTGTTAACATCCTTCCCCTCTGTAGCATCTTTGGCTCCCAGGCATCCTCTTTTGTTTTGCTTTCACCTTTTACCGTTTTGGCCAGACTCTTTCATATAACAAACTACAAAATAGCACCATTGTACTAAAAAAAGAGAGTTTTACATACGGTTTGATATATCCTGTATTGTTGATATGCGAAATTTACATAGTGCTCTATATGGAAAAAAAATCAAAAGGAAGAAGTGATTAACTAGGTTGCACACTAACTCATCATTTGAAGGAACTGTTGAGAGTTTGAGACTTTCTATGCTTAACACATACACTTAAGAATGTTTGGCCTCAAAATTGCAACTATTTGCATTTTTTTTTTAAAGCAAGATGTGGAAAAAGAAAACTTTGTGTCTAAAATAAAGGCATCCAACTTATATTTGGTGCAGATGCCACAGATAGAATCTCGTGGGTTAAAAACTGGTGTGCTACTCAACTGCTTGCTGCCGCTATGGAGGAGGCCAAATCTGGAAAATATCACGGTGATGAAGAGGGGTGGGCAGAGATAGACAGACAAGGTCATCAGACACTGTAAAACAAAGAGCCTGTATTGTGTAGAAAGAAGTGCAAATAAAAAGAAAATTAATAAACCACTTAGACAAGACTGCTGAATGAATGGCTCTAGCAGCCAAGATTCAGAGACAAATTTAGGGCAACTGGATCTAGACGACACCCATGCATTTGTGGCTCTTGAGAGGCAGGGACGAAGATTATATATATATATATATATATATATATATATATATATATATATATATATATACACACACACACACACACACACACACATATAGATATAGATAGATTAGATATATTTTTTCTCTATAGAACATTATTGGTAAAGGATCAACAGCAATCTACCAACTCCAGGACCATTTTTGCAAGGTGCAAAGCTTTTAACAATCACTCCTAAAGACAATGTTTGAAATGTTTACTTATGTATTTCATTGGGGGAAATGCCCATCTTTTGAAATGTTATCAAACTTATTTTTTGGTAGGTCTTCTGGTGTTAACCGGTGACTCATGCAGAGCAAAGGATCCTGCCGGTGGCATGTCATTCTTCACTCCTCGGGAAGGTCTTCCTACATCCTGTAGTTCTTATTCCCTGCATTCCCTCTACTTGCGTTCTTCAAATGTACTTCCTAAAGACAAGGGAGAAAAAGTGCCATTAACTCGGTGAAGTTTATGGACCCTACTCATCTACTTCTGACATTGGGTCTCAATCTTTATTGCTTAGGTCTCACCAGTCAATTTAATAGAGAGCCTGGGCCAGGCTTCCCCGAGAAAGACGTATTTAAGTAAATAGGCTTTTAGTTTTTAGTTTAGCTAAACCTCACCCAAGTTATGTGCCGCTGGTGGCATGGGGATCACAGATTGCTTTATAACCTCACAAAAATGTGTTTCTGTTCATCGGCTGCTATCACAGATTCATTGATAGGAAGGAGATCAGTCTCCTGGCCTGAAGCATCTTTTCATCAGTGAGGGAAAAAAATCACATTTTGGAGTTATTCTCTGTTGTTTTATTGCATTTTGTTCTGTTTTAATTTCTGTCAAATGAGAATGTTTCTTTTTCATTTTTTTTTTTTTTTTTTCTGTGAAGGAAGACAGTTTCAGAAGTAGAAGGTTGGGGAAATTTGTAATTGACTTAGTCTGTAAAATCACAGATATAGTGAGCTTGGCTCAAATCCCAGCTCTTCCATTCTCTGGCTCTGTAAACTTCTTCAAGTGACAATCTCTTGTGTCTCAATTTCATCCATAATCTAGGATAATAGTAGGTTTTACCTTTTAGGATTAAGGATTAGAGAATTAGTACATAAAAACACTTATAATAGGTCTGGCACATGGTAAGCACTGTAAAAGTATCATCATCATCATTATCTTACTCTTATTATCATTATTTATAACCATTCCTGGACTAAAATTCCAGGGTTCTTCTTTGGTGCTACCATTCACTCGTCAACAAGCAATGCTTTGATCCAAGGGATGTTGAGTTTTGCTTAGAACAGAATCCCAATGATAGTAGGGACTTTTTTTATCTGTTCACTATTATAGCCCTATGTTTAGAACAGTTCCCAGGGTTTTGCAGGTGCTCAATACATAGCTGTAGAATGAATTAAATGAATGAATAAATGAGTTTAATGGACTCTGATCATGTGCAGAATCAAGTTATTATACTTTCCCACAGTTATTATTCTATCTTTAAATATATTTAAATAGCTAAGTTTATTTAGACAAATGAGATTTGAGGTGAAGTGAAGTCCCGGAGGAAGTGCATTTGCATAAACATAAGGTGCTTCTTCTGTTTGTTCACCTCTGGCCAGGGGTCCCTTATAGGAGAGGCCTCTTTTTTCTGAGAACATGTTTTCATCTAGACAAAAAACAAGAGTTCTTTCCATGGTGGCTGGAATCTCCTAATTCTTCCTTCTGGCTAAAGTAAGGACCACTCATTCATTCATTGTTAGGAGCTCAGGGATCATTGAAAGGAACCTTTAGGTTCATTCAGACCTGATACCTGGAGAGGATGAGAAGCTGGGACAGAATCATCCACTAATCCCTGAGCTAAGGCCCATAGGGATTTGGTCATTTTTCTTACACATGCTTTTCAGTTCTACCTGGAACAATGGAGTTAGCACCAAGTCCTTCATAAGAGCCAGAAAACATTTTGTAAGTTGATGGTCAATATCCCGTGGTGACAGAACAGAACAAGATGGCGTTATTGTGTAAAAACGTTTATTGAAATATCTAGGTTGGTGGCCACTGAAAAAAAAGTTTGTGAAAAGAGATTGAGCATTTGTTTAGGATAGTTTGAAATGCCATCTGTTAAAAATCCTGGCACTTTTCCCCAAATATCATATACCTTTTATCATGTCTACTTAACATGTATTTCTTGCTGAATAAAGCATCTACAGTTAAACTACCAGTACACTTGTATTCCCAGTCTTACATCTTATTTTTTTTCTTAATGGAGTTCTTGAGAAAAGTTGCAGAAAGACATATGGGGCCACCAAGTAGGATCACTGTTACCCCGAACTCTTCGATGCATTTCTGTTCAATTCCCAGTAGACCCTGCCGATTAACTATATGGCTATCAAAATTCCAAATAGCTATTACTAAGGATACTAAACCTCTCTCAAACTGCTGACCAAAATAACTAACAGGTCTGAAAATATGCTAATTTGAGTTTTACCTTTTTTTCTACCAACGTAGAAGAAAAAAATATTTTTAAGACGGTGGGAAATACCCGAACTAGGAAAATACTCAAGAATGAAATGATAACAAATGAAAAGAAAGCCACATGAGGTGTTCCCCTTTCGTCATTCTCTGAAGCCAAATTAAATGCCAGACTCGAAGAAGAAGAAATTCAGATATCTTCTATGCTTCACTCTTTAAATTCCCGAGGGCTGTAGCAAATAGAACTGAGGTTAGATTGGCCATTTAGATGTTGTCCTTTTCCCAACAGGGAGATTCTTTTCCCTTTGTCTCAAAGCTGAGGTGCAAAGGATCAAGCCGGGACCAAGGGATCCGGCCTAATGCTTCTGGGTCTGTGTGGGCATCGCAGCAGAGCCGTGGGCAGAGACTCGCTTGAGAAAAAGCCGACGCTGCTCCAAGGAGCGTGGTTCCCATGCACACACATGTTCAGCGGAGGCCATTCAAAACCAGCTGGGATGTCGTCTGGTTTGAATTTGGCTCACTTCCCAGGCTCTCACATGTGACTTCTTTGTTGCAGACAATGACAGGGACAAAACAAAAGCACTTGGGGATTTGGTCTCAGTTGCATCTGTTGCTTTGTTCATTGTCTTAATTTGATTACGCTGGCCGCCTTTGACAATGGGCAGCAAGTGGAGGCCTGTCTGAAGCAGCCATCGGAACCGGCCCCCACCTTCCGCGCACGTCTTCCAGGGTTACGAAACTGTCCCACATTCAGCCAAGCAAAAACTTTTCACTGCAGCGGCTCGTCCAAGACAAACAAACCAGCTGAAGCTGTTTCTAGTATGCAACTAGACAGATTTTTGAAAGGAAAACAGTAGTGAGTAAATACTGTTTCCTATTGACACCAGGGAAGGTAAGATTATTTTAAAAAACAGTGTTGGTTCTCTAGCTCACCAGGGTTGGTTGAGGAAATTTATTTCTCTGAAGAAAGGGTTGCACCACTCATTGGGGAGTAAGTCTGAGAAGGGCTTAATCTGCAGTATACATGACCACACATTATATACCATACTCAGATATTTACGAAGCTGGAAAACGCCTTGGAGGGGTTATTCACATTCTCCCATTGTCTCTTGGCTCTAATCCTAGCTCCTAGCATTTATAAGGAAAGCTATCCACAAACTTTTGGATTAAGGAAGTCACTGAGCGCTAGTAACAATGGCAGTAATAATAATCTTGATTAATATTTGTAGACACTTTACAGTTTATACAGTAATCTCACAGGATCCTCCCAATAACCTCCTGAGATGCTGTCGCAGGCATTGGCCTCATGTATAATTTGAGACTCTCTAAGATTTAGCGAATTGCTTGAGGTCACCTAGGAACAAATTGATAGACCTAGAACTAATAATAAAGCAGTTTATTATTTTAACAAAAGAATAGCAATTCCATCACTTGAACCCATATAATGCACCAGACACTGTATTCTGTATACTAATTGAATATATTTTCTTCTTTATTTCTGTTTGGTTTTTTGGAGGTGAGTGCTGATGTCTTGCCCACTTTACCTTTAGGGAATATGAAGATTCTAAAAGCCAAACAACTGGCCTAATTTCTTTGTAATGAAGATGTAACTGTGGTTAGGATTTGTACCGGTTCCTTCTGATTCTGGAGCTCACCGGTTAGCAGCCCTGCCATACACCCCCCACCCTACCATCCAAGAGGTAAAACAATATCTGGTGCCTCAAGGCCCAAATCTCTCTCAAATAACTCCAGTTGATAATGTTATGAGCTGCCCGTGATCCCAGATGGTGTCAGATGCTGGTGTAGGGGGTGGGTGCCCTTCCAACTGCAAGTAGGAGCTCAGCCCCATTTGGATGGTTATTGACAGAGGATAGTAGCACAGAATTCAGCGAGCAAAAGCTAACCCCGTGGGTATTATAAACACTTCTTTTCTCCCTGCCTATTTTTATGAGATTTTTGTCTGAGAGACAGAATCTAAAAGAAGGATGATAATAGACTTTTTGAAATTGCAGGGAGGAAGCAGTGCTATTTTCAATAGCCTATGTTTCCACCTCTGCCCACTCTGAACAAGTTGAGTATTGTATGACATAAAGTCTAAGTAAAGCCTGGCACCCTATAAAAAATGCTGAGGAAAGACTGCTCAGCATGGAACATTCATCTGTTATACAGCATAAGGGCCTAACTCAGCACTGACCTTCTCTGAAGAAGGGAAATTGGGGGCAGGGGGGGCAGAATGGATGATTGAAAAGATGGCTGTGCTGTAGCTATTTTGCTGGCTTGGCCTGGAGATGTGTGCAATTGTGGAGGACAGTTTAGATGCCTCAGTATCCACTTTGGTATCTCTTTACTTCAGGGAATCACAAGTTCGCATTCAGGAGAGTTAGGTCAGCCTTTCCCCTCTGGAAGCCAAAAAGAATGAGTGTCATGTGATTTACTCAGCACTTTGGAATGTGACTTTTAAAACCAGAGGTCAAGGTGCACATTTTGAGAGACTCAAGCTCCTGATGGAGTGGCTGCCTCTTTAAGAAAAAATGAGAGGTATGTAGACTGGACACAGTGTGGGAGAGCCCAGCCTCTTGCTTTTTTCCTGGAAACTATCGCATCCTATCTTCTTTGTGGTTAATGTGGAAATGGTCATTTTTCCTAATATGACCCTCTCCGCTGGCCATAGTGAATTGGCCCACAGGGCAGCCCTTCCCCCGCCCCCCAAGCGCAAGACTGAGTGTGCTAGGGATATCAAGGTAGACCCATTCCTGGGAAAGACAAGAGTCCTTTTCTTTCCTGGCCAGCTTTGGGTCAAGGAGTTTCCTTAGACTGTACTGCACTAGAGGATTCTTCCACGCAATACTCTCTCTCTCCTTCACTTGGGGTCAGACTTGCATTACCTTCTGACAGCTCACTTAGGCTTCCCTGATTCTCTCCTATGTCCTTACACACAGACATTTCCCCTAATAAAACCCTCGCTCA